TTCGAATGGCAGACGCACCAATGCGGAGGGGACAGCATAATACAGAAAAGGTGAAACGAAAGTTTTAGTATAGAGGGGGGGGGGGGGGAGGGGGCTAATTTTGAGCACAGCGGAGAATAACAAAAACTTGACTTGTATTGTATGTATTGTATTAATTTTATTCATATTTCTCTAGAGCAGTCCCCACAGACTAGGCTCCGGCGGTTTATGCTCGCAAAGCCAAGGAATTTTGCTTTCTTGGATTCTCGCATTATGCTCGCAAAATCCTCATAATATTATGCTTTGGCACGCGGGGATACATAATTTATTCACTTTGTTGTACTTATGGAGCCTCAAAGTTCGGAAAATTGTGCGCTTTTCGTACTTGCAAGGGGCCATAGGTGCAACAAAATGTTACACGAGTATCTCCATACCCGCAAGGTGTCCATGCATACTAGAGATCAACATGAAAAAGAGAATCAGTCAATACTCTTCTATTCATTTGTTGACTTCTTTGTAAAAAGATGTTTTCATTGACAAATTTGTTTGAGTTACCTTTGAAAATTATCATGTTCAACTGTCTTCCTAATCGTAATGTCTAAGTGTATGGAGTCCATCGTGAACCGCAGCCTGTCCAACTTCCTGAAGAAGAATGACATCCTTTCTCACAGGCAGTTTGGCTTTCGCACTGGACTGGGAACCTCTGATCTGCTAATTGCTCTTCAGCATGAGTGGAGCCTTGCAGCTGCCGGTGGAGGCCTCGTCAGGGTCCTCGCAATAGATATTGCCGGGGCCTTCGACAAGGTATCGCACAACGGCGTCCTCCACAAGGCTGAGCGGTGCGGCATAAGCGGCCCCGTCCTTGCCTGGCTCCGGAGTTACCTGACAGGCCGCCACATCCGTGTCGCCATAGGCGGCCAGTCTCCACCGACCCACCGAATCCAATCTGGCGTGCCGCAGGGCAGCATCCTCGACCCCACCCTCTTCCTTCTGTACGTCAACGACGCAAAAGACCACCTGGCTGATGGGGCAAAGCTGGCTGTATACGCCGACGACACAACTCTCTACAAGTGCATCAGTAGTAGTAGTAGAAGTTTATTTAACGTCGCACCACAAACAAGCGATTTCGCCTCCTTTGATACATGTGGACGACAGAAGGGATGAGAGAGGGGGGGGGCAGAAGTACGGAGAGAGGAAGGGTAGAAATAAATAAGCAAATCAAATCAACCTCAGGGCTACACCAAAGCAAAAACGGAATGGGAACATTCATTATACAAAATAGCTCCATACATATTATTGCAAAACACGTTTACTATTCTTCAGTCCGCTATACCACAGAACACACACTAGCCGAACAGCATTTAAACGGAGCCATGATGCGCTTTTAGCAGGGCACAGAACTGAACGAATCACCACCCGACTCAGCCTGGCAGAAGAGACAGCAATCCTCCAGCAGGCATTGGACTCACTGGCAGCATGGGGAAGCAGGTGGAGGATCAAGTTCGAGCCAACAAATCCGCAGGCATTGACCATCAGCCACCACCGCTCGCCAACCCCCCCCCCCCCCCCCCGAACGCAATACGCTTCCAAGGAGCAGTCGTGCCAGAAGTAGAGGAGCTCAAGCTTCTTGGCGTCACTTTCGACAGGCAGCTGGCATTCCGCAGCCATATCCGAAAGCTTGCAGTACGCGGAGCCCAGCGGCTCGGCTTCCTCCGTAAGGCGTCGGCTGTGCTAGACCCAAAGCACCGAGCAATCGTGTACCATGGCTTTGTCCGCTCTGTGTTAGAGTATGGCATGCTGGTGTGGATGAGCGCAGCCCCCAATACCTCCTTGGCTCGCCTCACTGCCATCCAGCGCTAGGAAGTGAGCCTTAAAACCGTTTAGAGTAACTGTGTCAGTGTACGTACGTTACGAAGTCTTGGGTATTATTATTGTGCATCTCTTTGTTGATACTAATATCCAATGGTCGGAGGTGATGGTCTCTGCAGTAACTTAGCTGATGCTGCCTCGGGTGGTCTCTCGTGTCATGTGCCATTAGTGGCATTACAAGAGCATGGTTCCAACGCGTCGCCCTGTGTCAACACTTTGACAGGGGTGGTCTGCAGTACGCCTGTTAGCAATTTGTATTCAATGTTCTCCTGGTGCAAGTGACCCAGGTCATCGTTCAATTCATAAACTAACTAATCACATTACTATTGTACTTGCAGGCGCTCAAAACCAGACGACGCTTTGCTGGAACCATAGCACATACATACATTATTATTTGTTTTTACAACAACAAAATAACACCCTTTGACGGCACAAAGCAGCAAGGCAGCGATGAGACATATGGAATGGCAGGAGTGGGGGAGAGGCAGGGGAATACCTGTATGGAATGACAGGAGTGTGGGAGAGGCAGGGGAATACCTGTATGGAATGGCAGGGGTGGGAGAGAGGCAGGGGCATGCCTGTATGGAATGGCAGGGGTGGGGGAGAGGCAGGGGCATACCTGTATGGAATGGCAGGAGTGGGGGAGAGGCAGGGGCATGCCTGTATGGAATGGCAGGAGTGGGGGAGAGGCAGGGGCATACCTGTATGGAATGGCAGGAGTGTGGGAGAGGCAGGGGCATGCCTGTATGGAATGGCAGGAGTGGGGGAGAGGCAGGGGAATACCTGTATGGAATGGCAGGAGTGTGGGAGAGGCAGGGGAATACCTGTATGGAATGGCAGGAGTGGGGGAGAGGCAGGGGCATGCCTGTATGGAATGGCAGGAGTGGGGGAGAGGCAGGGGCATACCTGTATGGAATGGCAGGAGTGTGGGAGAGGCAGGGGAATACCTGTATGGAATGGCAGGAGTGTGGGAGAGGCAGGGGAATACCTGTATGGAATGGCAGGAGTGGGGGAGAGGCAGGGGCATGCCTGTATGGAATGGCAGGAGTGGGGGAGAGGCAGGGGCATGCCTGTATGGAATGGCAGGAGTGTGGGAGAGGCAGGGGAATACCTGTATGGAATGGCAGGAGTGTGGGAGAGGCAGGGGAATACCTGTATGGAATGGCAGGGGTGGGGGAGAGGCAGGGGAATACCTGTATGGAATGGCAGGAGTGTGGGAGAGGCAGGGGAATACCTGTATGGAATGGCAGGGGTGGGGGAGAGGCAGGGGCATGCCTGTATGGAATGGCAGGGGTGGGGGAGAGGCAGGGGCATGCCTGTATGGAATGGCAGGAGTGCGGGAGAGGCAGGGGCATACCTGTATGGAATGGCAGGGGTGGGGGAGAGGCAGGGGCATGCCTGTATGGAATGGCAGGAGTGGGGGAGAGGCAGGGGCATACATGTACACTCCCTCTACTGCAGGGTACATCCGAGTTTCAGTTGTCTGATGATTGCCTAGCGGCATGAAACTCAGAGTTGCAACCAACCTGAGCGTCCTCCGCTGAGTCTGCTATGTACTAAGCTCTGTCTCTGACATCGAGCACTGTCTGCAGCTCGGAGATCAACGGATTAGGATTTATACTCTCCCTCTATGACTGTATATCCCTATGATTGTATACAATCATGTTCGTAGATGCACAGGTGCAAGTGTATGATGTTATGGCACGAGGAGATCACCCGTGTGTATTCCGACTTTGCCGGAGGGTACCCGGTGATGATAATGATATCGTCATAATGACGTAATGTATTCACTCGGGCAATGTATTACTTCTAAGTACTTGTACAGAATGCTTATTGTCATCTACAAGTTACAAGTGAGCAATACTTTTAACAATTACTGTGGGCCTGTGTGTGTCTGTGTGTTTGGTGTGTGTATGCCCGTGCGTGGGTGTCCATGTGTGTAAGAGTACTTCGAAGTACATGTGCGTCTGTACGCGTGCGTTTGCGTTTTGCTTTTGTGTATGCACGCGTGTGTGACGTTCATCACATGCAGGGAGCTAACTGTGCATGTGCATGATGCGGTTAATACCTATCGTGTCGTCGTGTACTATGTACATACTTAAGGTGGCAATCGGTAAAACACCGATGTAGCCATCCTCACCAACGATCTTGCCTGTCCACGGATCAACACTCAACAATACTACCACAGCATTGTTCTCACATCTAGAAAGTGCCACATGCGACGTCGAATCAACCGCTACCTAGCGGAAAGTGTGTGACATGTTGCAATGATGAAATACGTACAGCACACCGGCCAGCCATCGTTCCAGCAGCTGGATCTTGACCCGCACACATTATGTGTCGTGTATGCCATAGCGTCAGAATCTTGCCAAGTGCTTTGGTGTCAGGCAAGCATTGTATCTTGCCCTAGGTGGTGTGTATGTACGTAGCCATGGCTGGAGATTGTATGGACACAGGCAATTTTGTCACGTGACTGGAACACTGCAGTCATGTTATTGAAGCATCTACTAGACACAATCTGCAAATACAATGTACTGCTACAAATTATACCTGGGACTGAGAGTGATTTGGCTGCTATTTCCATCTACAACAGATAACGACGACACCATCATACACTTACACATCACCATAGCAATGAAGACGCTAAACAACGTACATGATTGTACAGGCTTAACTATTTACTTGGACGGTGGATACCCTAGAAATGGGTAAGATGGGGGTTCAGGTACCTAACTTGACGCGTACCATGCTGCAAGCGCTGACACGAGATGGTATGGGAGTTGGAAGGGTTCAACGGAGCCGGTTAGACATGTCCTGACAATGAAAACTCCTTGTGTCAGAAGAGTCGAGAGAGAAGTTTAGCGCGCCAGTAGAGCCACAAAAACCTCGCCAGGCATGCAGGTTGCTACTACCAAACATTGTTCCACCATACACTCGTACAACGCACACAGGCACTATGCGACCGGCCAGCACTTAAACAAGGAACAAGATGTGTCGCAACTTTCGGTTCCAGTTTCTCTGGTGTGTGAGCCGCAGCAGCAGCATGAGCGTCAGCGTCAGCGACAACAGTAGCATCAGCAACAGCAGTATCATCATCATCAGCAGCAGCAGTATCAGCAGCAGCAGCAGTATCATCATCGGCAGTAGCAGCAGCTCCGTTATTTGCAGTGGCCAGTGCGAGGTTGTGTATGAATGGGGTACTTGGTATTCAGTGCGACTTTCTCGTCAGCCAGTGCTAGTGTAGTTCTCGTCAGCCAGTAGTCATACCTGAAGTAGGCAAAATAGAAATAGCCGGGGGCACCTTTGGATGGGAATATCGTCACTGCACTGCAAATGGATCAGGTCGCCGCGGTGACGATAATGGCACCCTATAAAAAGGCGTTGTCCACGACATCAAGTTGAAGACTAGTTTTTGCTGAATCTCCAGTTGAATTCTTATAATAGGCTTTGGGCGCGACAATTGGATCTACTGCTAATGCATCGGATCAGGACAGCCACATCGGACACAAGAAAAAGAAGAGGAAACGTGGAGAGGTGCCCTTGAGGAGGAGGTAGAGCGGCTTGAAGCACATTAGCAGATTGAAAAGTCAGTGCAGCGCATCTTCAAGGTATGTATGTGATGAACGTGTTATGTCTTGTTACGATTTCAATCTTCTGATTCTGCTGCAATGACTGTAATAGGTAGGTGCTACATTGAATAAATTATCATCTTTATCAAAATTTTGAAGGACGCTTCACGCAGCTTCATTGCACTTGAATAATTTGCAGGCAACCTGCCTACACTCAAGAGAGCACTGCATTTCACACAAATCCATTAGAAGTATCGTTTCAACGTTTCGGTCTTCCGATTCCTGATGATGGTCATGAAGACCGAAACGTTGAAACGATACTTCTAATGGATTTGTGTGAAATGCAGTGCTCTCTTGTGTGTAGGCAGGTTGCCTGCAAAGTATCATCATTGTTATTGCGCTATTGGCCAGCACGAGAGATACAATACATATATTGGCGGTCTCTAGTGAGGCCATGACTCAGTACTGGATAGCAGTCAGTTGCAAGTTCGGTGACAGTTCAAGTGTTGATCTCGGACAATGCAAGGAATGAGATGCAGCTATCACAGAATATGACCAAGTTCAGCGGCATCGGAGATGGGAGCGAGAGCATAATTATGCTAGATTCGATGAGAGAAGAGATAAAGGGTAGGAGGGGTGCTGATAAACTTCTGAACTGATCTAATGCGTCGGGATAGACCATTGAATAGTTTCATGGAGCAAAGATGTGGTAAGAAGGAATAGCTTTTTTCCGCATTTTAACCCGTATATAACCCTACGTCATTCCCAGGTGTAGATAAATGCATGTGGAAACATGTAGGAATAGAATTCCTGGCAAACCTCTAGAGAGAACACCTTTTACGTCTTTCTCTCTGCTCCGTTTTGCTCTCCTCTTTTCGTTCGTCCCTCAAGGCCTCATGACATGTTGTGCTTTGTACGGTCAGGCCAACGTGGCAACGAGCTGACATCAATATTCCTAAGTCTTTAGTCGCAGTGTGCAGAAGGTACAGAGCGCATGCTGCATTGCTGGTAAACTCTGATTTCATGTACACGTGACCTCGGCTCAATGGCGATACGATACCGACAATCTACACCATGACGTCATTGTACTGTTGCAGATGTACAGTCTACACCATGACGTCATTGTACTGTTGCACATGAATAGACAATACAATACACTGTGTCGTGTGACTCGTGTCGGTTTCCTTTCTCCTTCTCTTTCAACCGCCAGTGCACAACAAGTATCGATGTCTTGTCAGCTCTTTAGCACAGGGTCTATCAGTGTTTATATTCTCCCCAGGGTAAGGAAGAATCTCACCAATATTATCATTCCTCGTTCTCATTTAATCCATTTATGGAATGGTATATCAGTGACGCTTGTTAGTCAATTCTGAATCTTTGATCTCTCATCCAATGCAGCCACGACTGTCAAACGAGAATCGGAAACTAGCAATTTCCAGGGGATCGTTCAGGGAACATGGAGCACGCACTACTATCACTACTCAGAGCATTCTGTCTACACTGTCTACTCTGTCTACACTGTCTACTGCTGTACACATCCTGTGTGAGCTCTGCACCGTCATCTCCATCTGACTATGCCTCAGACGTCACTGATGCACGAGGCGCATACGAGGGACCTCAGTTGGAGCTACCGAGTGCCGTTCTACGCAAAGCGCGTTCGGCGGTGCCACACGAAGTATTAGACGTGGCCCGCGGTCCAATCATCGACAAGTATGTACAGCCGGAAAGCCCTCTTGTTGATGCAGGTGAGCGAAACTTACGTTATGAGCTTCGGCCAGCGCATAGAGGACCAGTATTCCAGCCAAACCGACCGGTTTTGCCATCGTCGCAGTCGGGTGCCTCGGGCATCACCCACACACAACGCTCTCTACCACATAACATGAGATGTCAACCGCGAAATGTTACCCGTCTCATACGCTATCGAGGTGAGGGTCTGGTATGCGTGGGTAACGCCACATTCGGTGTGTGTGACGGGTACTGCAAGACGACTGCGCGCACGAAGATCAAGAACGACTACCCGTTCGTGAAAACCATTCACCGCTCATGTCACTTGTACGAAGCAACTGCAGCAATGGCCAGACTAGTGTGTAGGTATGGTCCCGGGCAGTCACGTGGTCCCGGGCAGTCACGTGGACGCACACTGATCACACCTAACGCTACCGCAGAGAAAACCATACCCATTCTACACGCTACCAGGTGTGTGTGTAAGCAATGCGTGGAAAGCCTGGATGTGGTGCAAACCTAGGGATTATGCTAGCCAGTCCTCTGACGTCAGCTCTTCTATGCGAATTCACGTCTCCGAACTCACCTTTCCGAATTTGCCCCTCCAGAGTGGAGTTACGGAACCCTGACGTCATGACCTAAACCATTGGTTACAAGGTGTCATGACATGAGCATCATTCTGTGCATTCACAACGTCACAAGCAAAGCGCATTCAATGGAAATCTGCTTCTAAAATTACATTATGATACTCGTGCGACTCGGGTGAATGTTTCATGCTATTGGTCATATTCAGCTACTTGTTGATGCTCAGATACGAAATGATCCGGTTTACTGTAGCAAGCCTCTTTTGATCAGGCTTACTTTGTAATTCTACGCATTGGTTCGAGACCACAAAGCGCACACACTCCCATATGAGGCTCACTGACAATGATTTCCTCGTTGAACTCAAATTCAAAACTGATTCCGAATACAATTGAATAGATTGCACCAGTTTAGTACCTATTCATCACGAAGCTGCATAAAGATGAATTATTCATGTATGTGATTTACTCTATCTGTGACCGGGATTGATTTCTGTGATTCACTCTTCGCTCAGTAATACACCAGTTCACTTCAGCACCACATGCGAGACTTCCTAAAACTTCTGGCTGTGTTTCTCAACACTGTACATCTTTGTACATGTAGCTGGCTGTAACGCGAATAATAATGTGAACTATACTTCACAACGTTTCGTCAGAATTCCCAAACTCCATTGTAGCGTATTCCTTGCACTTGAAAACACCGCCATTCCGGCAACAGGCTCTCAGCCGGATGCCCTGATGATGCCCAATGGGCGAAATATTGGCAAAGTTATTTATTTGGTGCAGCTGAGAGCCTGTTGCCGGAATGGCGGTGTTTTCAAGTGCAACTATACTTCACTACGTGACAATACAATGACGTACTTCAGTAGGGGGTATCTGAGAATTCAAAAGAAATCTGAGAACTCAGTGACTTGTTCCTATGACACTGACATAGCGTATTGATAATGTAATTCTGATTTTCACCGAATCCAATCAATATCCGCGAGACTACTAGACAACTGGTTTGTGGTCTCGGTGATGTGGCAGTCTAGAGATCAAACAGAGCGATATCACTGACTGAGTAATGTTGTACTGGGGATACACTGAAGCAAAGTTAACGTTCAAGAATGAGAGGCACCAATCCCAGAGCGTGCGCGTATGTGTATATGTGCGCGCGTACGTGTTCACGCGTGTGCTTGCATGTGTGAGTCCTCAGTCTGTCGCTGGATACCATTATGATATTACATGACATTGTGTAACATTGCGTAAGAGATATCTGTACGTACATGCATGTACATGTAGAGGAATAAACCAATACCCTAGCTATGGAAAGATAGCAGTCACTGGAATACTTCATCAATACTCAGTACACGCAAGACGATAAGCTACCAACACCCTTGACGTCTTGCAAGCAGAAGGCCATGACATGCACTTTGTGACACTTGGGAGTGTATCAATTGCCCTTGCTGAATACTGGACAGTCTTCAGCCCTCTAATCTGGCAGAAAACTTGTAATGGCAGTGCATCACTCCTCGGGAGTGGATATTGCTTGAGTGGTCACGTGGTCGCGGTAGTTCCTCAATATTATCATGTCCACTGGCACCTCCAGACACGGCTGGGTTACAATGATTTGGAAATGTGAACGCCTGAATGGCAGTCGTTACTGTGTGAACATTGCAATCACGTGACATTGTACATGTATTATTGTGAAACGCCTCTTGTACGTACGGGCAAAGCAAATGTGCTTACACAGTAATTATGACACAAAATCTCAATACAAAAATGAACGAAACGCCAAGCATCTGAAGAAAAAGACTTATTCAAACATCAGCCTGTAGTGTGAAGCGGTACTGTCCATCCCCAGCTACTCTCGCTACCTTTCGCACCACACCATAACCGTCAGTACTGCCCGGCCCCTGCGCTGCTTGGCCTGGTTCTGACGGTACCAGCTGCTCTCTGCGCGGATGCTGGTGCAGATTCTGTTGATTACATTGCTGTGATTGTAATGCACGGATGCTGATGTCTTGGCAACCACTTACACTGGACCCTGTTTCTATGGAAACACGCGGACTATTGAATGGCGATGGTCTAGGTGATGTTCGTGGAGACGGCCTGGGTGATGAACGTGGGGATGGTCGTGGTGACGTCATAGGTGAAGGACGAGGAGAAGTCCTAGGTGACGGTCGAGGAGTGGATCTTGGTGAAGGTGACGGCGAGGAGCGTGGTGTGAGGCTCTTCAGAGCGTTCAAGCTCGTGCGAATGAAATTCGTCAGGGAGTTGCCTTCGGTTCCCCTGGTGACAGCGACCGCGTGTGTGTTGTTATAGTAGCTCTCAGCGTACTGTCTCGAGGCTAGTTCATCGAAAGAGCTGGATTTCGGCAAGCTACCAGTGGTTTGTCTTGCGCCTGTTGTTGGTGATATCATTGTATATCTTCTACCTGCCGCCGCTGCTGCTGCTGCTGCTGCTGAAGCTGCTGCTGCTGCCGTCCCAGCCTGTGTGTGTTTCGGGTCCAGCGAAGCAGACCTTTCCGATTTCCAGGTCGTTGCAGTTGTTGGCTGTTTGTCCATGCGGCAGCTTCGCATGTGCATGACTAACTCGGCAAATACCTCGCTGACACCATGATGTCCTGCGAGTGCGGAAACTTCACGGAACGAATGACAGCCGGTCTGCTGCGCCAAGAGCTCTCCTTCTCTTGTGCTCACCTGGCGACCATTCATGGAATCTGCTTTGTTGCCAACCAACACGACCGGAATCTCCGAAGAGTCGTCTTGACGGTGCTGAGTTTGCCACCGGTCAATGGATTTCTTCATGTCGGCTGCTCGTCGAAAGCTCGCCCTATCGGCCACGCTGTAGACCAGAAGAACACCACTTGCATCGCAGCTGTCTTCCAGGATAGCAGGTGAATCCGCCACTGTATCCTGCAAGCACCAGAGCAAGCATCAAGCACCAGACTGAGACATGTCACGTACTGCACGTGAGTGTGTGATGGTATTGCTAACACTATGACTGGTGGTATGAGTGTGAGTATGAAGGGTTGCTTGAACTCAAACCTGTATGCATAATTCATAACTTTGAGGTAAGGGAAATGGAAATGGGGAACATCTGAAGAGAAAATCGACGTTGGTCCCAGGATTCGAATGACGGAGATTCGTTAGGTTTGCCTGGGGTAAGGTTGGGATGTCACTTAGGCTACTGTCATATCGCTAAGAATGATAAGGACTCGCAACATACATGTACTTGAAAGTACAAAGAACATCGGAAATCATATCAAATCCTCAACCTTTTGATCTACCATACTTATCAGGAGTATCGTAATTAGCCCATACAAAAGATACCTTTCACTCTCTACATCATACATCATACATTAGGCCTATCATACATCATACATCATTCATCTTACTTCAGTACATGTGTTAGTCCTTGAGTAGATTAAGGTAAGGTGTCTCTCCTCAGACCGGGACGGAAATACAAGAGAATTTATTGAAAATGAGTGCATCATTAGACCCCGAATTCATTTCTCCAGGAGCCTATTCCATACTTGAACACCCTGTAAGAGGAGCTTAGCATCACTCTGTTGGGTATGCCCACGTACCATAATAATATACATATACATGTACACTTCAATGGACTTTTCTTAACAATGGACATACTCTCTTAGAGTACAGGTGGATAATCGTGACGTATAAAATGACGTATAAAATGACGTATAAAATGGACGCGCTACTTAGGGAATCCTCTGAGTGGTGATCTGAGTTGGTGTCTAGATAAATAATTGTATGTTCGTAAAAATCACATGAGCTAATTGTTTAGTAACTGGTGGTATTAGTGGACATTATAGCATAACTTGTAGTTTATTGGTCCTTTTTTCTTAAATGTTCGTAAATCTTGCTTCTTACGTTGGAGACAACATCCCAGATTCCAAGCTTTGTCGCGTGATCACCGACATGCACGTCCTTGTGGTACAAGAGATCTGTACCACATACACATACACGTACATGTGCGTAAACACACACGCAAGCACACAAGTCATATACTTGTAGATACATTCATACACGCGCATGCACACACACACATACACACACGCATGCACACACATGCACACATACACACACACACACACACACAAACACATACACACATATGCATCCGTGACAGCAGTATACACACTACTGTTGCCGTAGATCACTACAGTACACATACAGTATACATGTATGTGTACTGTAGTGTAGTGTATGGTGAAAATGATCCATGAACACTGGCCAGAAACTCTATGAACTGTTCTTAGACAAATCAGTACTCATTTACCTCCCCCCCCCTCTCTCTCCCCCCCCCCCCCTCACACACCTCGATTGCTGCATTTCGGACACTCTATTGCAGCACACATGCTGAATATTGCTCCACTTCATTGCAACCAATTCTGGGCTGATGAAGATACTGGCCAGTACTCCACTATTCGTTAACCATTCTGTGAAATAGCGTTAGCAGTGTGACTGAGTGTGACTGAATGCTGTCAAGTGTGGCCATCAACCTACATGTATTTTCTCAACATTGTCATGTACATGTACATGTGTATGCAAGAAGGGTGAGGAGCAGCATTCGGATTTTCACAGTAAACAAGGCCTACAATCAACATAGAAACATAGAAACGTACCACCTGACGAGTCGTAATCGTGTATGAATTTGTGCGTCATCAGCTGAACAACGAGAGCTGCAGGTTGAAGCGGAAGCACATGGCAGCTGAAGAATCACGAAACGTTTTTCGCCCATCATTACATACAATGTTCGTGAACACAGGGCAGAACAACAGAGCAAACCGCAGCAGACCAAAAATCCTTCTCGTGACTCCGAGTTTCGTGTTTCAAAAAAACACTCACTTTGCAGCAAAGACTACAGACACTTTTTCAATGTTCGTGTAAGTACATTATGCCTGTTTAGAGCATGATACTACTAATATAGAATCCCGTGGAACACGTACAATCACGTAAAATCATGTACAATCCCGTGGAACACGTACAAATTACTTCATGTACATGTAGATCGTGTATGTTATTACCGGTATTGTTATTGCAGGCATTCAAAAGCAGATTTCATTGAAATTTCTCTGACATTCATCTCGTGTTTTAGCAGTAAGTGCAGAACAGTATCTTCCTGCAGAATGTGATTGCTATGGTCAAGACCGGGCAGAATCAATTATGGATATTCATGTACAACGTGGATATTCATGTAGATATTCCACTACTCATCCAGTTCACAAGTTTGAGGGAGTTGAAAATGGGAAAACGTTTGAATAAAATTGACTATAACCACCAGTACATGTACTTGGAGCAGGGACCAGTCCATTGTGACCTTGTTAGTACTGCCGTGGCCGTGCTAGACCCCGATGGAAGCCATTGCTTATCATGATCATACATGCTTGTGTGAAAAAGCCTCTTATATGCGCATCCACAGAACACGACATCACTGGCATGGCACAACAACTAACGAAAAAGCAAAGCAATTCGTTTAAAGAAATTGAAACATGACAATCTGCACACAATTACAGCTCCATTCATGATAATCTCAGTTATCATGGTTATCAGTGGTCATCGTAGCCTTACCTGACTTTCCCACGGATTTATCTCCCAGAACGATGACGTCATGGCTTGATTCCTTTCGTTTTCTGCGGGCTATTGCTCTGCTGTCCTCGCCACCAGCAGACACCATACTTGGGGACGGGGCAAGCATAGGCGTGGGAGATAGCTTGCTGGATCGCTGCAGCATGTTGCTACACGGCTTCGTCAGGTGGATTTCGACGAACCTTTGGCTGCACTATGACGAGAAAGATAGTAATGGTCGCAAACTTTCCTTGACTTTAAAACTATGGCGAGATGGCGAGATGGATGGTCTCAGATTGTCTTTGGCTGCACTGTGGCGAGAATGAATGTTGTTGGGTGCTCTGCGGCGGGAAGGAATGTTCCAGAGCGTCCTTGACTCGATCACTCACAACACTACGAAACATTCGATTCGAAGACACGACACGACGCCCGGTTAGCTCAAAGACAATGGTGTTAGCTGAGACGAATCATAATGGCTAGTTGTTTATACATGTATCGCTACGACCACTGGGTCAATGCACTGCAGTCTCCAGATCACCACCACCACTACTACTACATGTACTAGCAAGTTACTAGCAAGTTATTAGGAAGTACTATAGTAGTGGTACTTTACAAGCACAAACACAAGTACAGCACATCATAGTCACTATCTATATCGTATATCGGGAACTAGTAACACACGTGATGTATCTGTGACCATCACTGAAAATAGCTCAAACCAAACACTCTCCCTCCCTCTCTCTCTCTCTCCCCAGTTCCTTTCTGATTTGTCGCGGCTCGGCTGTGATCTCACACATCGTGTATTGTCATACGCACATCAACATGTATTTACGTGGCTTGGGTGAAGTGAACTGATGTCGCCACTACATGCGCGTGGCTCTCATCGATCGTGTCATTCCTCAGAACACTGGTGATATGCGTGTACACTGATGTTAGCTGTGCGTGCATGAACAAGTATTCCCTCGCAATCTCCAGCAGTCGTAGGTGGAATGACAACACACAGCACACGAGTGAACAGTGCATGTGGATATCGGATGGGTACACCTTTACAGGATATTTGCCATGAACAAGCCAGCAGAGCAGTGATGGGAAGCCATTCACAATATGCCTCTCATCACCGTGCCAAGATGAACGAGAAACATCTACTATGATCTAGATTACCTGCGGACCCCAAAACGTTAAACCTCGTTCCTCATTAGACATTTATAATAGCGAATGATCAGTGACTTCTGTGTGTTCACCGCGATGACCACGACAACCACTGCTAGTACTAGTGGTAGTGCTCACAAGCTGCAACCAACACTCCAACAGAGTGCTATGTACACGCACACGCATGTCCAAGCCAGCAAAATGTGTGCGTAGGTACATTGTACATGCGCGCGTATGTGTGTGCGTGTCTCGTGTGTGATTCGATCCGCGCCCTGTCCTTATTATGTACATGAACAATTTTGTGTGATTCGGCATACTCACTGATCATCTATTAAAAAGTTGGGCAGCTGAGTGATTCGGCACAGGCACTGGCGCTATCATCTCTGTGATGTGGTATAGATAGTCACACTGTCGCACTTTCGCTATCACACATGGTCCAGGGCTAGATGCATCATCAGGTATGTATGGACCACACTGTCAAGTAGATACTTCCGACGAGGGACAACACGCGCAGCTTGCGCTGCCCCGCAATTCCTCCTTCTCACGTCTCTAGCGTCTAGTCTGCGTCTAGTGCGGACTGTTGCCTGTGTTGTGTTCACTGCCACGGGCTGGGTGAGTGTGTGCTGATCAATACAGCCCTACTGCCGTACCGAGAGTGTGCTGTGCAATACAGCCCTACTGAACACCTACAGACTAATACAGTAATGTAAGGGATGCACGGGGAATGAGAATAGGACCCAGACCAGGGGCGTGTGTTGCAAAGAGTGTTTTTGAAGTCACTCTCCACACCCATAGCTATCGGTTTGTGATGTGATGGGAGCGAATACGGCAGCACTGCAGCCTAGTCTTCTTCCCAGTCGCTAACATGTACAATGGAAACTGTACTATAGGAAGTGACGATTGCCAGCATTTGTATACCAGTGGTGTGGCTGTAGTGATGAGAATGCCTGCCCACACACATATACACACACACACACGCACACGCACCCACCCACACACACGTACACATACACACACACACGCACCCCCCCCCCCCCCCCCACACACACACATACACACCCAGCATGTTAGCTGTTGCAGCTAGCAACTCACCTTATTTATATCCACTCTGTGGTATAGATGTGCATGTCATGAAGGGTAGACTCAGTGTAGCGTACATTGTCGTTGTCAGTTTGTAACCATCTGCACGCCCACATCATAGATACTCTTGTGCCTTGAGGGTATGTTTGGGAATGCAGGCTCGTGGGACCGCATCCTCTACACCTATGCTCGTTCACCATTCCTAGTAGCACAGCAGACAGTTCACAGCTTGTTCTACACGGGGACTCAGCAGATTCACACCTCCGCCAGTAACAGGTAAAAGCAAAGGATTTTTTCTATTATGCATGGGGCGCATTTTTGTTTGTTGTTTTAGACTTTTCTTCCTCGCGCCGTTTCATGACCTCTCTACTGTTATAATGCCTTGTTCTTGTTCCCTTGGTCTTACATGAACACCCCTACACACACTATCCTCAATTCAAAGCAAGTGGTCTTTTCGCTGCAATATTCTTTTTCATCACAATTACGGACAGGAACCATCATCAGGAGTGAGGAGAAAAGCAAGGGCGGTTGACCTACATGTACATTGCGTATCATGAATCACAGAATGGAATGAAACTACACCATACGTGATAAAACTACACCATACGTGATACAAGACAGTACAGTACAGTACAGTACAGTACAGTACAGTACAGTACAGTACAGTACAGTACAGTACAGTACAGTACAGTACAGTACAGTACAGTACAGTACAGTACAGTACAGTACAGTACAGTACAGTACAGTACAGTACAGTACAGTACAGTACAGTACAGTACAGTACAGTACAGTACAGTACAGTACAGTACAGTACAGTACAGTACAGTACAGTACAGTACAGTACAGTACTGTACTGTACTGTACTGTACTGTACTGTACTGTACAGTATCCTTTGGGTACAGGTACATGTACATACACACACACACACACACACACACACACACACACACACACACACACACACATGTACACGCACACGCCAAAACACACAGTCACAAACAAACACTCGCACCATCACTCTCACACATGCTCACACTCAGAATCACACCCACACTCACACGTGTGCAACTTGTGAAAACAGACACACACACACACACACGCACACACACATACACACACACACACGCACACACACGCACATACACACACACACAAAAACCCGATATGCTTGACAAGGTGTGAATATTTGTGGGACTATGACAAAAAGATGAGATTTTGTCGCCAAACTGCACTTACGCTACAACACTGCGCTAAACTATAAAACAATGGCGTGAACAAGCACACAAGACAATAGGGACCTTTAGCACCACGTTACAACGTAGGCCTTTTGACGTACTTGATCACGTCGATCGGGGTGCGCGATACGTGTTTTGCATACTTGGCTTAGCGAGACGTGATTATGGATCGACGTCGTTGCCACAGGAACAGAGAAGAATGGCGCGCTTGATTTCAAAGTTCCTCGCGGGAAATGTGGAAGAAAAGACTTGAAGAAAAGACTTTTTTAGTAAACTACTGTACATATACATGTACTTCGAAAATTAGTTGATTTCCTTCAAGGAGAGAGAAAGAGAGAGAGAGAGAGCGCGTGTAGAGCACCTTATGCAGTTTACCTAGTAAGTTGCAAACACAGCGTTTCTGGGCAGTCGATGATTGTTGATGGCTGCCAGATTTCAGGATGCTCGAGATTTGGAGCTGTACAGGACATGCGTGATGGACGAAACTACCGGCTTCCATTTGGCGTCGTAGTTAGTTGCCAAATTCAGGAGTACAGTGTTCCAGGCAGGCGAGCCACGAGAGAAGGGCTTTTCGCTCGACGCTGCCACTACTTCTTTCAACAAATTGATGTCCTCCTTGGCTCCAAAACGAAATTTCTCGCACACAGCCTTAGTCTGCGTGTCCTCGGCAGCCATACCGAAACAAATTTTGCTCGGAGAAGAAGATACCGGAAACCCAAAACAAAGATAGCAAAGAATAAAATTACGCCTAGCGCCTCTCAATCGATCGTACCTCGTGGGTTACAAAACAAAAACTACAACCAAGAGTTCATAACTAAAATGAACTCTTGCTACAACATAAACACATCGACGTTATGTGAACTCTTGCCCTCTTGGTGCAAAGTGCAAAGGCAAATTCCTACGTCCTACCACAACGTACAAAAGGCCTTTTCTACGTCGAAAACGTTGCCTGATGAACGTACATGTACATACTACGTCGCGACGTGACCCCGAACCCGGACAAGGGCCTACGTCAGGCTTACGTCGTAAACAACGTGGTGCTAAAGGTCCCTAATAGGACAGAACAGTGGCAACAGAAATAGTGATCATCATTCAAATTTTCACATTGTTTGTGCTTCGAACTACATTGTACATTGTACATTGTGCTGCTACTTGTACTACTGTCAATACTTTACTTGGACAGTTAGCCGTCAGCATCGATAGTCCTCATTTACGTAGTGCCATAGGCAAGAATTATGACTCCAATTATTATATGAAAAGGCGACGAGGAGACAATAACTTTATTAATGCGATTAATAGTATAAGTGAAGCGGACATTACAAAATGATGAATGAGAATACATGTATCTAAAATGGTTGTTCCTAATCAATTTTCTTGAGACTATCATCAGGGAAAAATCGTCTCACAATAGAGGCTATACGGAGAAACAAACTTCTTATAGGTTATAGGATAGTGGGAAGTATACAAGGTGAGGTGTGAAAAAAAAACTAAAGTGGGAGAGAAGACGAAAGAAATTAGAAGAAAAGATGTGAGAGTGTTCCGACGGTGTGAGCTACTACAAAAGGTGAGTGAAATGAAGGCGTGGAAGCAGGTGAATGTGATAGAGTGAGGAACTGTGAGGTGTAGGTGTATGCGAATGAATACGTGTGTGAATGCTAGGTGAAGAGTCTCAGTTTTGTGACATTTTCTTTCTGAATGCATAGATTAGGATTGTGTTTACGGATGAAAACAGCTTCTCATACCTTTTAAAAGTTCACGAAACCTACGAGCACGGCACAAAACAGTGAAGCATGAATCGTCATACACTGAGCGGCATTGGCTACTAGACAAGAGGTGTTTTTTAATTGCTGACCCTTTCGTTGTGCTCTCACCTTCAGTCCGGTCATCTTCATCTTGGTAGTCCAACTCACTCTCTTCATCACTGCTCACACCTTCTTCAGCTAGCATTCACACACGTATTAATGCTTTTTATGCTAGTTTAGGGCATTTTATGCTAGCAATATAATAATAATTATGACCAAATACAGCAAACCAATCGCAGAAGAGTACGCGAAAAAGTCTGTTTCCAAAGTACAAGTAGGTATATGCGCGCAAAAATTGATTGATCGGTGGTAGACTACTTCTACTCAAACAAAGGCAACATCGTTGTACGCAAAGGTATAGTTTGCGTTGGGATGGTCATGTGGCACGTATAGGCATTTGATCAGGGAGTACTGTATTCTACGACTCTCTGGCCATGAGATGCTGAAAATCGCGAATTATGCTAGTTTCTCCAACAAAATGCCTCATTA